CCAGGCTTGTCCCACTTTGGGGGGGGTGACTTCTGCCGCTTCGCTGCGCCTGTCAAGCCAATAGGCTGCGGGGGGGCCCCCCGGCGCTGCTGCGCTGGCGGCGGACTGGACAGGGCCCTGCTGTGCCAGGGAGTTGATGGCGCCGTCGGCTAGGGCCGAGGGGTCCACGTCTGCGAGGTATCCCAATAAGGTACTGGTCGCATGGCGAAAGAGGCTGGGGCCTCGCTGCCCCCCCAGTCTAGCAATATACGTCCGCCACTTGTTCGCGTACCCGTCGTTCTGTGAAAGGTGGGAGACGACCCGGGCGGCCGCTGCCCTCTGGCCGCCCCAGGGGATGTCGGCAGGGCGGCATTTCGCCGGGATCGTTTGCCCGTAGATGCTGACCAGGAAGGGGCACAGCCTGCCGGGGGGGAGGACTCCTCGTCGGTCCTCTCGCCGGGGATCCATCGCCGTGCTCCTGAACGCAGTCAGTCCATCGCCCGTAGATGTCCGGGTTCCACTCGGCAAAAACCGGACCAGCGGGCGGAGGACGCCCCGGGAGTCCTGCCCGGGCAGCTCGCTCGTGGAGCGAGTTGGCACTGCGGGGCCCGATGGCGGAGGGACGTCTGGGAGCGAGGCGCCGATGTCCCGGGACCTGGGGCCTTCACGGCTTTGCCGCCCGCTGGGGGAGACGCGGTCATCTCCAGCGAGGGGGGGGCGCCTCGTTGGCGCGGTCCGCTGGATGTGAGTAGGCGCCCAAGGCGGTCGCGTCGGCGGCACCAGGGGCGAGGTGAAGGGCGATGTCGGCGTTGTCGATGTCCATGCCAGACGGGGTTACCCGCTTGGTCGGTGCCTTGGGGTAGACGTCGGCTGACTGCTCGTCGAGGATGTGGTCGAGCGTGCCTGGGGCCACATTCCAGATGTGCGTTAGGCACCTCCTGCAGGACCAGCTAGCGCTCCACTTTCGCTGGGTCCAGAGGGCAGGCATCTGCTCCCAAGGGGGGGGGGCTGGTGCTACTGCAGACGGGTACCTGTGGCTCTGGACGCCAGAGGAAGCAGCCTAGGGCGGGATGTTTTGCGCTCCACACCAGCAGGGGGGGCCCTGGCGGGCACGCGTCGCACCTGGCCGAAAAGGCGCCAGTAGAGTGACCGTCGGGGCCAAGCCTCCCGTCAGCCAACTTGCGCGCGGGGAGTGCCATGTTGGCAGCTCGTGGACTAAAGGCGGGGAGCCCGACATGACGAGGTCGCATAGCGACGTTGGGGTTGGCGCCAGGGCAGGCCGCCCGTACCCTATCGGGAGGCGCGCCACGGAGGGGAGCGCACCATGGACCTCCTGTCTTGCCGCTTGCCATGCAAGGTGTTCTTGTAATTCTGCATCCGCAGGGCCAAGGGCCTGCGTGAGTTGCAGTCGTGCGGGGAGTAGGGCGTGGGGAGGCCTTTCTTTCTATTGAATCGATCCAGCATCGCTCGCAGAGCCACCTGCAGTTCCTGCCCAGAAAGTAGGCCTGGGCGCGATTCTGCGCTAGGAGCTCCCTTGTGTCGTCGTCCCAAGTGCCAGCGGAGTACCAGAGCCCTTTCCTGTTGCAGTCACTTCCGTCGCAGTGGATGCGGGCTGCCTTGAGGTTGCTGGCGAAACGGTCGTCGGTCACCCTTGGTGGGTTCAAGTGCACTCCAGGAGCAGGGGAGGCCTGTCTGTCGTCGTCGAGCCGCTTCTTTGACATAGCTACGCCACCTCCGATATACTGCAATCCTGCCATGGAGCCGGGGCACCCGAGGCTCTGCTCCGACCCGGTGAGCTCCTTGTGAAGGGTGCAGATTGAGCATTCGAATTCACCTAAGGAGACGACCTTGGCCGGTCGGACTAACGCCTCCAGGACCCACATGGGCGATTCCAGTGGGAACTTGCTGCCTTGCATCTCTACCCACGTGCGCGGGCAATTGTGCTCAATAGCGACGGTATGGTGATGAGCGTATGTGGCAAGCGTGCTGATGTGCTTGGTGGCGTCCTCGAATTTCCCGTGGAGGGTGGTCAGGGCGTCGAGGGCGAAGCCCCAGGCGTTCGCGAACGCGGTCCTGTACTCCAGGTCGACGTTTTGCCAGGGTACGCAGATGCCCATCGCTGCTTCCATGATATCCCCTGTTGCCTCATGGTAGGGGAAAGGCCAAAGCGTCGCTCGCGGCTCGCGCAACTGGATCATCACGACGACCAGGAGGACTCTGAGTGATGGGGTGTCCAGCGGGTGCCCGTCGCAGTTGAGGAGGCCCTGCCTCAACGTGGAGCCGGCTTGGACGGTTTGGAGCAGGGGCGCCAGATTCTGCATCCCAGGGTGCACGCAGTGCCTCTTGCATTTTCCCGTAGTGGCGCTCCAGGCCTTGGGGAACTGGTGTAGGATCTCGTGCGGGGCACACTGTTTGGTGCCCTTCGGACGGTGGCTGCGGCCCCGCACCTCGGGCAGGGGGGGGAGCTAGTCGGCGGGCACGGCCAGGCTCTTCTCATCCCAGGGCGCGCCGAGCCCGAGGAACCACACCAGGGCAGCTCACGTCATGTTGTAGACCAGGTTGCTGGCGTCAATTCCCAGGCCCACGTCGTAGCAGAACCCCAGGTGGCTCCAGGCCTTGCGGTCGAAAAGGCCCGGATCTCTCGGTGCGTCGGCAATCGAGTGCTGGTGAGGGTGTAAGCCAGAGACTGTGTAAAGGACCACTCCCAGGACGGGGTCCTCTACCAGCCTCGGAAAGCTGTTCTGCATGGCTTCGCCGAGGGCGGTCCAGCAGAATTCCGGGCCCAATGGGGTCGCGATCTTGTCGGTGAAGTTTTTTCCCATTGAAGCCCGAGCTTTTTCAATCGCGCTGTCGATCCCCTTTTATTACGTCGTCGCCTGCGTGCGAGGGGATTCTGGGACCCAGATGGCAAGATCCTTGATGGGGTCGAACTCCTCATCGACCTCGAGTGTCCTGCGTCGCCCACTCTGGTCGGGCTCTTGAAACCGTACCCACAGCTTGGCGAAGCGACCGTACTCGGAGAGCTCTCGGAGCCTGGACCAGGTGGCCGTGGTGAACATCCTCCCGTCACCAATGATCACGACGTTGCGCGTCGCTCTGGTAATGGCGACGTTCACCCTGTTGGCGTTGTCCATGAAGCCCCACTCGTGCCTGCCGTTGGAACTGGTCGTTAGGAGGATGACAGTGTCTGCTTCTCCGCCTTGGCTGGAGTCGATCGTGGAGAGGGCGAGCCTGCCGTTTGCTAGGTATTCCTCAGCGAACTGGCGCACGCCAGGAAACTCCAGGGAGATGCCAGTGTGCCAAGAGTCGGCCTGGTCAAACACGCTGGCGAAGTCGCCCGGGCCGGTGGGGCGTCTGGAAGTGTCTGCTGCGCCGTGGCCCTTGCCTTTGCCCCCCTCGGTCTTCCCTTTTCCCTTGCCTTTGCCCTTCGTCTGGCGAAGTGAGCCGCTGATGCTTCGGGAGCTCTGGGGCCACCCGTTCTCCAGGATGGCGCATTGGAGCTGATATCCGATGACAACCCGGACTGTGACGCCTTCCTTCATTGAGGGAGCGCGAAGCGCTTAGAACTGGGATACGCGAAGCGCCTAGAATTGGAGAACAACTGAACCTCAAGAGGTGCGACCCTTCCTCAAGGCCTGAGGGTATTGGCCGTGGCGGCGTCTCCTGGGCTTCTCTGCAAGATGGCCCCAAAGCGGCCCAAGAGGCCCCCAAGACGGCCCCAAGAGGGCCCCACGACGGCCCAAGAGGCCTCCAAGGTGCCCAAGATGGCCTCCAAGACGGCCCTGGAGCACCCCAAGAGGGCCCAAGTCGGCCCAGAGAGGCCCCCAAGACGGCGGGCCAGGAATGCCCTAAGACGGCCAAGGATGCCCATGAGAAGCCCCCTAAGGCCCCCAAGAGGCCCAAGGAGGCCCCGAAGATGCCTCCAAAAGGCTCCCAGGGAGCTCCCAGGAGGCCTGAAGAGTGCCCCCATAGGCTCCCAAGACGCCCCGTCCTACTTCTCATCCTAATCTTCCCCGCCATCCTACCCCAAGTGTTCGCCGAAAGGCTTCCTACAAAAGCACATGATCCGATAGCTTGGCAGAGCAGAGCTCGTGCCACAATGCTCGGCCACATGGGCGATTCCAAAAGGCAGGGGGCGGCAGTGGTTCGCCACAGGCGTCTTCGAAAAAAAAAGCATCCAGTGGGCCCTCGCAGGAAAACGGGGGCGTCAAAAAACGTCTCAGGATGAAAAGCGGGCCGTGGGAAAAAGGGTCGGGTTTCAGGGGAACCCGAATTGAAAAATCTAAACATTGGAGATCTGGGGGGAGATGGAGAAAAATCGGGGGGAAGAAGGATCCGAACGATGCACCTACACCAATCCTGGCCAGGCCCATCCTCGGCCATGATCGATGCATGTGCCGCCCTGGCTTGGCCCGATCTCTCCCTCCTTGCGCAGTCCCTTCGAGCGGAAAACTTGTGAGACGGAGCGGGGGGGAGAGGAGAGGGTCCGAGGATTCAGGAGAGAAGGGGGGGAGAAGAATGAGGACGAGGGCTCGGGGATCGGCAGGACCTGAGGATCGAAGGAACGAAGATTCGAGGAACGGGGAGGAACGACTGAGAGGAGGGAGAGAAGGAATGAGGGCGAGGAGGGGTGGGAGGAGGGGGGCGAGGATGAGGTTTTTGATCGTCTTCTGCTGCTCGTGGGCCTCGGGAAGCCTCGTGAGACCTCTGGAGACCTCCAGAGGCCTCTGGAGGCCGAGAGCTCCGGAGGCACAGGGGTGGGACGAGGAGGAGCAGGGGAGACCCCCGTTATGCTGTACTCCGGCCCTTCCCACCCCCCACTCCATCCACTCGCCTCCCCCCGTGATCAGGTTCACCCTCCTCGTCTCCTCCCTCCGCTAGGGGGCCACATGCGAACCCTACCCCTCAGAAATCGTGGGGGGTAGGGGTAGGGTTCGCATGTGGCCCCCTATCCGCTCCCTCCTTCCCCCCCCCCCCCACCCACCCGTGCCCCCCTCACACCTGCCCTCGGCTCCCGCCGCCTGTCGTGCATGCTGCAGTATGAGCTCCTCGGCCCACATCTGGGGAGGCAAAAGCATATAGCGACACCGCCACTCCCCAGATCACTCCCAGGGTGCGCACTGACCAAGATTCCTAGGAGGGTCCAGCCGTGCTTGCACGGGCCCACCAGGTTAGGAGGCAACTACTGGGAGGTTTTCGTCGGAAGGATCAAAAAGGATTAAGCCCCATTGGGGGGCTGTTACGCCGGAGTGGGCCTCGGATTAAGCCAGATTGAGCGGGATTAAGCCGGATTAGACGGGATTAAGCGGGATTAGGGAGGGTTTCGGACCAGGGCAAAATCAGAATTTGACCTCCCAGGAGTTGCATCCGAACCCGGGTACCCCAGAGGGGCGAGAGCGGAGGCAGGACGTCGGAATCCAGGTCACCAGCTTCAAGCGTCGCACCCCGCGGTACGCGACGCGCGGCTATCTTCCCGCTCCCGCGCCGCCCCCTGGGCCCCCTGGGGGAGGCCACCTCAGCGGGCGTGGAAGCGACACGCGAAGCGCTGTTGCCTTTGCGACGGTGGGAGAGACTCGGAGTGTCGGTGTGCTCTTCTCCTCTGAACGCCAGCGCATCGTCCAGCTCATCGGAGACGTGCAGGGCAGAGCCGTTCTGCACCTGCTCCCTCTTCAGGTCCGCGAGCCGACGGCTCAGAGGCGCCGAGGTGGGGAAGCCCTCCGTGTCGCCGCGGTTGTAGGCCACCGCGACGTCGTGGCGCCGCGCGATGGCGTAGATCTTCGCAATGGTCTCCGCCGCGGAGCTCTCCAGGGAGCGCACCTGGAGGAAGCAGGAGCTACATATACTTGACCTGTCGGAGATCAGAGCGGAGATCCTGGGTCGGCGAGGGACCCCCCGGCGGCGCCTCCGGCGCCGCGCTTCGCCCGCCAGGGGAGACGGGGTCCAGCGCCGACCCAAGAAATCCGCGCGGGCCTCCGAAGGAAAAAAACATACAAAAAAACAGACCCTGCGTGTGTTTTTGTGTTTTTTGTGTGTGCGTGTGTTTTCCCACAGTGTGTGTTTTTCCCCCGCAGGTTGTGCTTGTGCCGCCGTCTGCTCTTCGGCGCACCAGAGTGAAGTCCAGGACGAGAGCCTTGATGGACCTCTTCGCCGCCAGCATCTCCTCGACGCGGGAGGAGAGCACCGTGGCGTTTCCAAAGAAGATGGTCCCCTGCAGCTGCACGACCTCCACGTGGCGCATGCCCTCCTTGAGAACCTCGCGCTCCAGGCTCGTCCTCTTCGCGGAGCTCCGCAGCGTCGTCGCGGGCATCACGCCACGCACTGGCTCGCAGTGGCGCATGTTCTGCAGAGTGAAGGAAACCGCCGAGAGGACGAGACCAAAGCCAAGGCCGGTGGTCATGCCGAAGATGGTCATGGTGATCGTGATCAGCACCACGCAGCTATACTCGAACGTGTCGAAGCCCTCCAGCGAGTCCACGAGCGCCTCCTTGCTCAAGTCGAGGCCGACGTGGATCAGGAGGGTTCCTGCCATGCAGCGTGGCACCGAAGGAAAAGGAGGGAGGAAGGAGGGGGGGAACACACACAAAAAAACAGCATTACGCGACGCAGCGATCCCCGTATGTGAGCCTGTGTTCTACCGCTTTCCTTGATGAGCGCCAGAGTGAAAACGAAACTGACTGTGCGCACCACTGAGTGTGAGTGAGTCTGAACGCGAGTGGCCAAACATGACGGGATCTGAATGCGCGTTAGTGCGCGAGCATGAGCTTGCCCCCCCCACCCTTGGGAGGCCCAGGCGCGATGCCTGCTACATCTCGGTGACCATGGGATTCTGCAGAGGCACGCGTCCACTCCCCCAAACGGGCGTTCTGCTCGTGAGGTCCCACCAACCTGGGCACGAACGGACCCGTGAAACATCCCTGGTCGATCCCCCCCTTGGGAACCCCGAGCGCAATGCCAGCTGCATCGCAATCAGGAGGGAGGAAGACGGAGGACGAGGAGGAGGAGGAGGAGCAGGAGGAGAAGCGGGAGGAAGGAGGACGGAATATACTTCTACCTCACAACACGGGCGAGGTCTAAGTGTGAGCGGGCCTGCAAATGTTTAAGTGCATATGGATTCAAGTAAGTCTGGCTATAAGTGAATATAGCTATGAATCTGAATCTGCGTCTGAGTACTAACGGAGAGCTGAGTGCGAGTGGGTCTGAGTATGAGCGGGCCTGAGAATGAGCAAGTCTGAATACCAGCGACGTTAAGTATAAATAGGTCTCAGTAAGAGAGAGTCTGAGAGGATGCATCACTCGAACGGAAAAAGAAAACAAGCTCCTTATATGATTAATCCGAGGGGGCCGAACGGTCATTCACTGTCCCTAAGTGCGTGGCTGAAGTGGGATTCAGCGATACGGATTATTGTTGTTTGTTGCTGTTGTTGTTGCGGTTGCTGCTGCTGTTGTTGTTGCTGTTGCTGTTATTGTTGGTGGTGGTGGTGCTGCTGTTGTTGTTGCTGTGGTTGTTGATGTTGTTGTTGCTATTGGTGCTGTTGGTGGCGTTGCTCTTATCATTGGACTCTCACTATTGACGGATAATTATTGTTACCCCCCCCCCCCTCCGGTAACATATGTTATGTTTCAAATGAAATGCCCTTCCTGGGGTTCGCACACGGTTTTTTATCAGGGAAAGTCTTCCTCCTCACGCTGCGCTGTTGGCCCCCGAACTACAACAACAACGGCTCCCGCGTGATCCTTCCTCACAATTGATTCCCGAATTGCGCTCTCGCGCAGGACTTCCTCACAATTGATTCAGGAATCGCGCTCTCGCGTGGGACTTCCTAGCAACGTATTCAGACGCCGCGCCCTCGACATTCAGAAGTCACGCTCTCCCTGTGGATTGCCTCACGATTGACTTCGGAATCGAGCTGTCCGCTCGAGACTTCCCCGCGATTCATGCAAGACGCACGCTTCAGCAACCCACCTGCTCGCGACCTGGCCGCGTGGGCCCTCATTCCCGGCCCGCCTGGTAGGGTCTCCCCGCCCGATCTGCCCGTCTGGTTATGCCACGTGCTTTCTGTTCCTAGCCCCACTCCTGCTAGGCTCTCTCGTACTTCATACTCCTACCCACCCGTTGTCCCTTCCTTCCATCCGTCCTCTCTTCCCCTGCCTCAGAGACTGCACGAAATACACGCTGCCGTTGAGAAAGATATACCCCCAAGGGGGCACGGTCAAAGACGAAGAGGGCGGGCATCGAGGGTTCGGAACATGCCTGCTGAATAGCACGCGAACAGATAAGAGCGGACAGACTTAAAATGAATGTTGCTGTTATTGTTGTTATTGGTGTTGTAGCCATTATTACTGTTTTTGGTGGTGGTGATGTTGTTAATGGCGTTGTGGTTAATATTGGCGATAGTGTTGTTTTTGGTGTTGTTAGTGTGGTTGTGTCGTCGGTGTTGGTGTTAGTGTTGATGTTGTTGATGATGTTGTTGACGGTGTTGTTCCTCTTGTTGTTGTTAGTGGTGTTGGTGGTGTTGGTGGAATTGTTGCTGGTGTTGTAGCTGTTGTTGCTGTTGTTGTTGGTGGGGGGTGTTGTTATGGTTGTTGGTGTTGTTATTGATGTTGTAATTGTTGGTGTTGCGCTCTCACCATTGAAGAGTAGTTGTTGTTAATCCCCCCTCCGGTGATCATTGTATTTGCTCAATGTGAAGTACCCCCCCTGGGCTCGCACCCCATTTTTATAGGGAAGGTCACGGGGCTCAAACTGTGTTGCCGGCCCCCACTTTACAACAACCACAACACAACAACAGCAACACCAACAACCATTATAAGAAGGTTCGTTTTTACTTGCCCGCGCGTCATTCAAAACAAGTTTCCCACACCCTCGATACCCGCCATTTTTGTCATTGGTCACACCCCTTTGGGGGGGATGATTTCTCTTTGCGGGGGGCGGCGGGCTTAGACAGGCGGGCAAACCTGAACGGGCGGGAAATTCTTCGTGGGCGTGCATGCGCCCGCCATTGGAATTGGTGTGGGCCCTGGAAAAAGAAGAGGGGAAGAACGAGGGAGAGTGGAAGGAGGGGAGGGGGAGGGACGAAGGATGAAGAAAAACGCCAGGAGAGAAGGAGCGAAGAGGGGGGCGGTTGACTAGAGGCAGAGAGAAAGAGAAAGAGGAACAAAAATATGTAGAGAAAGAGAGAGAGAGGGGAGAGAGAGACAGAGAGAGAGGGAAAAAAAAAGGGAGGGAGGAGGCACGAGAGGGGAGGGAGAAGGGAGGAGGGAAAGGAGGGAGGGGAGATAGGGCAGAGAGGCATAAGGATGAGGGAAGAGAGGAGGGAGAGAGAAGGGAGGAGAGGAGGGAGGAGGGAGGAGGGAGAGGGAGGAGGAGCAGGAAGGTAAGAGCGTGAACGATCGAAGAAGTCCTAGGCGAAAGCGCCGTTCCTGAAGGGAGTCCCGGACGGGAGCCCACGACGGGCGGGCGATCCCCTGACGGGCGGGTCGGGCGGGTGGGACATGCAAGCGGGATGTCTGAGTATGGCGAAAGCGCGATTACTAAGTAAAGTGTAGCGGCGTCCTCGGCGCAGCGTGTTTCGTGAGCGTCGAAATCGAGATTTCTGAATAAAGTGCATGGAAATCACAGGCGAGAGCGCAATTCCTCCATAAAATAAGAAGGGCTCTCTGGCAGGAGCGGGGGTCTTGATTAAATCGCGAAGAAATCTTGATTCAATTGCGGGGATGTCTCAAGCGGGAGCGCCGTTCCTGAGTAAAGTGTGAGGAAGTCTCAGATGGGAGCGGGGGTCATGACTAAATTGCGAGGGGGTCTCAGGCGGGAGCACCGATCCTGAGTAAATCGTAAGGAAGTCTCAGGAGCGGGGGTCCTTAGTAAATTTGGAGGAAATCTCAAGCGGAAGCCGTTGTTGTTGTTGTTGTTGTTGTTGTTGTAATCCGGGGGGCAGGGGCACAGTTTGAGCACCAAGACTTTCCCTGTCCAAAAAAGGGTGCGAGCGTCGAGGGGCACAGTTTGACTAGGAAAAACAGCATACACCAGCGTGGGGGGACCAACACTAATTATTCTTCGGAAGTGAAAACTCAACAACAACAACAACAACAACAATCATTTAAGACTGGGGACACTCCGTTCTCACCAGTGCCAGGGTTTTCATAGGAGGCGGGCAATACCCCCACTTTGTGGGGGGGCCGGTTCAAGCTCTACCAAATTTCCAAACGACTCTTCGCCACCACCCACACCCAGCTTCCCGCCCTATGACGTTCGGACACTTCACTTCGTGGCATGCGGACGACCGTGGCTACTATTCAGGGCCCCGCGGCCGACGACGACGGCGTGCGCGCGCGAAGAAAAAACGAATGTGTCCCGCATGGTATTATTTGACAGGGATGATGGCCCTGGCAGGTGCGCAACCGTTGTCGCAGAAGTTCGAAAAAGTTGCTCGCAAAAGCCCGTTTGACAGAAATGTTTAAAAAGTGTTGGGTTTCCTACGAATCCGCAAGAGCGCGCGGGATGAGATTTTGACATTTTTTTGTTGAAAAACCATTGGTTTTTTGATGTTTTTATGTTAAAATCGCTCCGAACACTAAGCTTTTGGAAGGATTTCGTCTTGCGCGCGCGAATGTCCACTTTACCTTATTTTTTGCAAGGGATTCTTGAAATTTGATTATATTAGAACAAGAAATGTCATTTTATAGTGTTTTTTGCAAGGGAAAACGGATTACAACAAAACAACCGGATCTGGATCACATCGTTTTACCTGAGGCTTCCTCACGAAAATGATGAAAACGTGGCTGCGGCCTAGGCGCGGCGGGGGGGGCGTGCACCAGGGGGCCCAACAATAATTATTCTTTAGAAGTAATAATATTCAACAACAACAACAACAACAACAACAACAATAATAATAACAACACCAAAAACAACAACAACAACAACAACAACAACAACAACAACAACAACAACAACAAAACAACAACAATAAATTTAAGATTGGTCGCTCTTATATGATCGCGTGTTGATCAATATGCATACCACAAGCCCCGGTTACCCGCCCTCTTCGTCTTCGATCGTGCCCCCTTTTGGGGGGTATATTCACTCCCTCCCACGCGTGGTTGGTGACGCCCTTGAAAGCGAAGGGTAGCAGATAAAGGGGAAGAATGAGGACGAAGGGGTCGGAGGAAGGGAGGGGACGGGCAAGAAGGAGGGAGGGCGATGATTTGCGCTGTAAGTGGAGATTCAGCTTGCGCCAGCCACTCCAACACAGGTTAACAATAAGTTTCGCCATGGGTCGCGCCATAAAGAGCGCCCCGTACCACCCCCTTGAAAGAACATATCCCGCGGGGGGACGTACAGCTGCGCACTGGTGTCAGAAACAAATTTCGTGGAACCCTGAAAAGAAGCGGGATGTTGGGAGAGTGGCGGAAGGATAGTGAGAACTGCAACCGTGTCGAGAGGAGCGCGGGGATGTGGAGTGGATTGGGATGGCGTGGACAAGAGTAGGGTCTCAGGAGGAGAAGCGGCAACGAGTGGAGAAGAGTAACCGGGAGGAGTGCGGAGGAGCGGGGGGCGCACGGAGGAATTTGGAGGAGGGACTAAGAGTAATTTGGGAAAAAATGCGGAATGCGAGCGGGAAGGGGTGGAGATTGTTGGCCCCCTCTCTCGCCGAAGGGCACAGAGGGGGCCAAGAAGGGCGACAGTGGGGCCACGAAGGGCATGCATATGGGGCCACGACGGGCGCGAACGAGCGGGGGCCACGAAGGGCATTCGTATATGGGGTCACAAAGGGCGACAGCGGGGCCACTGAGGGCAGCAACGGTGCCACGAAGGGCAGCGACAGGGCCACGAAGGGCGACAGCGGGGCTACGAAGGGCATGCGTATGGGGCCACGACGGGCGACTGCGAGCGGGGGCCACGAAAGGCATATAACGCGGGGCCACAATGGGCAGCGACGGGGCCACTGAGGGCATCAACGGGGCCACGAAAGGCAGCGAGCGAAGGCGACCGCGGAACAAGTACGGGCAGCGAGGGGCATCGAAGGCGGGCGAAGGGCAGCGAGCGGCGACTGCAGTCCCTAACGGGCTGGTCGGGCGGGCAGGCCCAGACGGGCGGGTCGAGCGGGCGGGTCGTTGAAGCGCAAATTCTGCTTGAAACGCCAGGCAATATGTAGCGGGAGCACGATTCCTCAGTATCGACGAGCGGCATCTGAATAAATTGTAAGGAAATATCAGGCAAGAGCCGCGATTCGGTGGTAAGTTGCGAAAAAGTCCCAAGCGAGAGCGCGATTCTTCAATAAATTGTAAGGAAGTATCAAGCGGAAGCCGCGATCCGGTGGTAAATTGCAAGGAAGTCCAAAGCGAGAGCGCGATTCTTCAATAAATTGCCAGGAAATATCAGGCGGGAGCCGTTGTTGTTATAAACCGGGGGCCAACAACACAGTTTGACCCTCAAGACTTTCCCTGATTAAAAACAGGGTGCGAGCCCCGGGAAGGGCACGTCAATCGAAAAAAACAATGTGCACCGGACGAGGGGGATCAACAATAACTATTTTTCAGAAATGAGAGTTCAACAGCTCCCGCCTGATCCTTCCTGACAATTGATTCCCAAATCGCGCTCTCGCGCGGGACTTCCTCCCAATGTGTATACGGAACGCGCTCTCGCGTGGGACTCCCTCGCAGTTCATTCAGGCGATGCATGCAGGACCCACGCTTCGGGCTTCAGCAACCCGCCAGCTTGACCTGGTCGACTGGGCCCGCCTTCCCGACCTGCCCGCTATGGGTCTGCCCACACGATCTGCACGTCTGGTTATATCACTTGTTTTCTGTTCCTTGCCCCCCTCCTGCTAATTTCTCTCGTGCTCCATTATTTGTCCTCCCCCCTCCACCCGCCTTCTCTTCCCTTGTTTTAAGGACTATACTAAATGCACGTGGCAGGTAAGGAAGATATACCCCCAAAGGGGTACAATCGAAGACGACGAGGGCGGATACCGAGGGTTTGGGAAATACGCATTGATCGCCACGTGAGCAGATAGGAGCGAACAGTCTTGAAATGGTTGTTGTTGATGTTGCTGTGATTGTGTTGCTGTTGTTGATGGTGGTGTTGTTGTTGCTGTTGTTGTTGTTACTGGTGTTGTTGCTGTTGGTGTTGGTGTTGTTGTTGGTGTTGATCGTGTTGTTGCTGATGTTGTTGTTGGTGTTGGTGTTGTTGCTGTTGTTGTTGGTGGTTTTGTTGGTGTTGTTGTTGTTGGTGGTGTTGTTGGTGTTGGTGTTGTTGAGGATGTTGTTGGTGTTGTTGTTGCTGTTGTTGTTGTGGTTGTGGTTGTGGTTGTGGCTGTGGCGGTTGATGTTGTTGTTGGTGTTGTTGTTGTTGCTGTTGTTGTTGTGGTTGTCGGTTGTTGATGTTGTTGCTGTTGTTGCTGTTGGTGTTGTTGTTGTTTGTTGTTGTTGTTGGTGGTGTTGTTGTTGGTGTTGTTGTTGGTGTTGTTGTTGTTATTGTTGTTGTTGTTGTTGGTGTTGTTGTTGTTGGTGGTGGTGTTGTTGGTGTTGTTGTTGGTGGTGTTGTTGTTGTTGTTGTGGTTGTTGTTGTTGTTGGTGTTGTTGTTGTGGTTGGTGTTGTTGTTGTTGTTATGATTATTATTGTTGTTGTTGTTGGTGTTGTTGTTGTTGTTGCTGGTGTTGTTGTTGTTGTTGTTGTTGTTGTTGTTTTTGGTGTTGTTATTATTGTTGTTGTTGTTGTTGTTGTTGTTGTTGTTGTTGTTGTTGTTGTTGTTGTTGTTGTTGTTGTTGTTGTTGTTGTTGTTGTTGTTGTTGTTGTTGTTGTTGTTTGGCGTCGGCCCCCCCGCGACCCGGCCCGCGACCCACCCGCGACCCACCCCGCGACCCACCCCCGACCCACCCTCGACCCACCCCGCGACCCACCCCGCGACCCACCCCGCCACCCGCCCCGCGACCCACCCGTGACCCACCCGCGACCTGGCCCGCGACCCACCCGCGACCCACCCTGCGACCCACCCGCGACCCACGCTGCGACCCACCCACATTGCTTTGACGAAAAAGACGGCGCCTGCGGCGGATTCACTGCATAATTTGTAAAGTTTAGGCTCCTGCGGCGGGCTTCTTCAGAGCCTCGCAGACTGCCGACGTCCTCGCCGACCCCTCACTCTTATCCGCAACTGCGGGGTGCTACGTAAGCATGAACTCTCGGAGACCCGCCCGGATTTCTCAGGTCTGCGCTGGGACCCCCCCCCTCCACACACCCCTCCCTGGGCGCGCCAAATCTGGGGCGGCTGTGGGGGGGCGGGGGGGGGCTCAGCGCCGGCCAGAAAAATCCGCGCGGAGGTCCGAAAATCATTGTTTATGCCGCCTTTGAGTCGTCGAAAGGGGGGGAAGGACGAGGAGGCGGACAAGGAGGTGGCGGACCCCCCAGCTTCTCGAGTCGGATCCAGCCGTGGCGACGCTGCAGGGCCCTCGGCGCTCTGGTGCCCACAGGAGGAGGAGGAGGAGGAGAAGGAGGAGGAGGAGGAGGAGGAGGAGGAAGAGGAGGACAACGAGGCGGAGAACAAGGAAGAATATGAGAGGGCACCCACGCGATGGCGCCAGGGCCCATCACAAGCGCCCCGGCCAGGACGGCAGAGAGCACGGCGCCGCTGCCGCGCCCGCCGCCCTCGCACTTGTAGCCCGCCGGCCACCCAGGTGGAAGCCCCCAGTGCGCGGGGGCCGCTCCCTCTCTCTCTCTTCGCACACGCGTCCCGTCCGCGGAGCGGGTGCCGCAGGCTCGTGCCGTGACCTCCCGCTAAGAAGCGTAGAGCGCTCCTCGCCGACCACTTCCAGGCCACTGGCGGCGCTCGCAACCCTGAGCGCCCGCGCCCGGGTCGCCGCCGCGCCGGGGTCGCCGCCGCGTCGGCGCGCGCGGGCCTGCCGCACTCCCTCCTCCTCTGCGAGGTCGTCAGGGGGGGCAGGAGCTGCCCACTGCTCTGATCAGGACCGAGGTGGCCACCTCTGGTTCGGGTCCTTGGAGGGCCCGTGGGGTCTCGGCCTCCGGGGATCGGCAGAAGGGCGGAAGCCTCCCTGGGATAGAGCAGGGAGTTGGAGTAGCACAGGTAGTTTGGGAGCCCGCCCAGGAGCCCGGAGGCGAGGTTGCTGGCGCCGTGGACCATCAGCTCGCGGTTCATGTCGACCTCCACCCCCGTGCTCATGGACAAGCTGGGGATGTTGATGGGCGCGTGCATGAGCCCGAAGCAGGTGAGCGCTACCAGGGTGGGCGTCTGAATGAAGATGAGGTCCCAGCGCACTGCGTGCACATTGAACACGTCCCACAGCACGGCCAGGTCCGTGGTGGGGGGGAAAGGGAAAATCCACCCCTGCTCACGCGCCACGTCCACGGACACACCCATCGCCAGCAGCACGATGTAGAAGGCGGGGATAATGCCGACGAAAAAGCAGGGAGGCAGAAGCGTCCAGTGCACAAGCCGCAGCGCGACGTTCAGAACGATGACTAAAGCCACAGATGTCAAGCTCAGGGGCAGGAGGTCCGCGCTGCCGTACCTCTCCACGGACTCCCACGTCCAGGCCCAGGGCACATTGGTCGAGACCTCAAAGCCCGTCTGTGTGACAAAGATGCCGATGCCGCCGATGCAGCCGATCAAAAAGTGGCGAGGGAAGTAGCTGACCGCTTTGCCAAGTTTGAACCGGCCCAACAGGAAGAAGCAGCTGCCCATGAGCACTGTGGAGATGGCGAAGGCCATCATGGTCGTCGCCATGGCGTCGGCCCCCGTGCCCTGGCCCCTGATCACTCCCTCGGCTATGGTGTGCATGAAGGGGATGTTCTCTACCATCATCATGCCCATGCTGCAGGGGAACTCCGAGAACAAGGTCATACATACCTGGCAGATAAACGTCGAGAACAAAAACATCTGTAAGCCCATGGCACGCGGATACGGCATCGGGTCCCAGCCCGTGGGAAACATGGCGAGGCCAAAAGGGACGCTCAGCATGATGTTCATCGTCGTCCCTATCATGACTCCCGGGACCCGTGCGACTGCAGCCCTCACGGACAGGCAAGGCCCCGCGGGCAGCGGCGATGCCGACCCGGTGTGGAAGCGGTCGCCGCTGTCCGCGCGTGGCCACGGCGTGCTCCCCGGGCTGCCCGCCGGCGCATCGGCGTCCAGGCTGAACGGGCCGTCGCACTCGCCGCCCTCGTCCTGGAGCAGCTGCCCCAGCGTGGCCTCGAGCTTCTGCCGGCTGGTGAGGCGCGCGAGCGCGCCCGAAGCGCTCCAGGTCCTCTGGCGAGGCTGATCTCCTCGCGAGGCCGACCTCCTCCGCGTGCTGGCCAGCGGGCTGCCCATGAGCGGGCTGTCCAGGCCCTCGCCGCTGCCGCTGCGTGAGGGGTTCGCCATGGCGTCGAGGCGCCGCCGGCCCCCCAGAGGGGGGAGAGGGGGCTGTGCAAGAGAAGCCTCGAGTTTAAGATAGGAACGCGTGCACCGGCACGGGCACGAGCACGATCAGCACCAACATGTGCAAGCACGAGCACGAGCACCGATACGAGCAACGATTCGGTCGGTCAACCGTTGAACAAGTCATTGGTCCGTTCAGCTGCTCAGGCATGCGGTGTTCGGAAAATCGACCGTTGACAATTCAATGGTTCAGCATTGAGAAGATCATATCATTGACTATGCGAAAACGACGAGAAGGCATACCCTGTCCCAGCGGCAGAGAGCCCGCACTCCAAGGTTGAGTTTTGGCGCGTGGAGCTCCCAGCCTTGGTGGAAGTGATGCCCACCATCATCACAATCATCAGCATCACGGTCACCATCATCACCGTCACCGCCGTCATCATCACTCTTGTCAGAAGTATTCGTTGCATCAGCCACCCTGCCTCTGCACGTGATGGAGTGCTTCGGATCCTTGAGGACCGTTGCCAACCCTTCTCCGCATCCCTGGCAGAAAACTTAGCTCCTATCCGCCACGGCGCCTCAGACAAGAATTGCAGTACCCTAGAGTCCCAATGTTCATGCTCACCATCATCATATTGATCATTATCATCATCATCATCATCATCATCATCATCATCATCATCATCATCATCATCATCAGCATCATCATCATCATCATCATCATCATCATCATCATCATCAGCAGCAGCAGCATAATCATCATCATCATCATCATCATCATCATCATCATCAGCCTCATCATCATCAGCAGCAGCATCACTTTCATCATCATCAGCATCACCATCATCATCATCATCAGCAGCATCAGCATCATTATCATCATCATCATCATCATCATCATCATCATGATCATCATCATCGCCGTCATCATCAGCATAATCATCATCAGCAGCATCGTCATCACCGTCGTCATCGTCATCGTCATCGTTATCGTCGTCATCATCATCATGAGAATCATCATCATCGTCGTCGTCACCATCATCATCGTCGTCATCAGCAGCAGCTGCCAGCACCGTCACCATCAGCAACAACCTCATCCTCATGATCACCATCATCATCATCATCATCATCATCATCATCATCAGCATCATCATCACCACCACCATCATCATAATCATCATCAGCATCATCATCATCAGCATCATCATCATCGCCATCATCCTCATCAGCATTATTCGGCGGCGGCACCGCCCTACCTCACGGAGCCCTTCGGCGAGCACTTCTTCGACTGGATCGACGACTTGGAGCTCCTCGGCCCAGGGGGGCCGATTGAGAGGGCGCATTTCCTCGACGCCGCGCCAGTCTCGACGCGCTGGCGGCCGTGTCCACGGTGCAGTACGACGCTGTGGAGGAGCTCAGGCTGTGCGCGATAGACCGGGTCAGGGACGACCACGCTGCAGGGCGCGACGCGGGCATGGACGAATACATTTGTGCAGAGAGGGCGGAGGCCCAAGGGCTCTCGGCGACGGACTGAGACGGGTGCAGTTTGAGGTGCGTCTGCGCGGAAACCCTGGGGAGGGTGCCCAAGTGCCCCGTGACTGTGTGAGCCTGCCGCTATGCCGCGCCGAGACCGATCGAGGTCTCCTGCGAGAGGTGGGGGACGCTTCGGAGTAATGTGGCTGATGAGAGAATTCGGGGGGAGACCGCGAGTCGGCGGCTGAGGAGAGCGGGATCATCATCATCGTCATCATCATCAGCATCATCATCATCATCATCATCAGCATCATCGTCGTCATCATCAGCATCATCACCATAAGAATTATCATCATCAGCATCATCATCAAAATCGTCATCATCGTCATCATCGTCATCATCCGCATCACCACCACCATCACCATCACAATCATCCTCATCATAGTCGTCATCGTCATCATCCCCATCACTGTCACCATCATCACCATCAGCAGCATCCTCCTCGTCGTCCTCCTCATCATCAGTATCAGCATCATCATCATCATCATCATCATCATCATCAGCAGCAGCATCATCAGCATCATTACCATCGTCATCATCACCATCGGCAACCACAACATCACCAGCATCGGCAGCATCACCACCATCATCATCAGTTGCAGCATCATCATCATCATCACCATCATCATCATCATCATCATCATCACCATCATCAGCATCATCATCAGCAGCCTCATCACCAACATCATCAACATCGTCATCATCATCATCATCATCATCATCATCATCATCAGCCTCATCATCGTCATCATCAGCAGCCTCATCTTCATCATCAACTCATCATCTTCATAAAGTTCATCATCATCATCATCATCATCATCATCATCATCATCATCATCATCATCCTCATCAACATCAGCCTCATCATAAGCATACACATCTGTAGTCAGTTTGGCTCAAGGCTCAAGGGAACTTTGAGCCAGAGCGTAAGCCTGCGGGGGGTGGTGGCGTGCATGCCAGCATCGCCCGCGCCTGCAGACCCAAAGGCAAATTGTTCCACCCTCCTCACCGTGCTGGCGTTCCTCGTCAGCGACAGACCTGTGAAAAGGTACCTGCTCCACACCACCCAGGCCCCCGAGTCTCCGGCGCGCCGGAGGCGCCCCGTCGCCCCCGGGGGCGAGGCGGCGCCTGCTCCCGGCAGACGCCGCGCAGACGGACCCTTGGGCCCGGCTCCTGGCGTGGGCGGCAGGCTCCTCTGGGCTTGCTGCCGGCTCCTGCCCACCATGTCGTGGAGAGGCGCGTGGTCGGGCGGTTCGCAGGACCGGTCGGGGCGCTGGACGTGGACCGCCGGCTCACAGCGGGAAGGTTCGTGGCAGGACAGCCATAGTCAGTGGGTCTGCTCACAGCGCAGCAACGCCACCAACTTCCCGGAGGCGTGCTCTCAGTGTGGGCTTCGCCGCGCACACTCGGCAGCAGCTGGCAGCTCTGCGCCAGCTGCGGGTGCTGGGCAGGGCTCGGTGCGCGAGCAGCTCACGAAGCTTCACCGTCCTGACGCATCTCGGCAGCGCAGTGCAGCCAGACACGCCCAGAGAGGAGATGGCGGCTCCAAGTGCCCCCCCTCCAGCTCTGCCAACCGCGCCAGCCATGCCGCCCGTCGATGCGTGGGGGCCGAAACCATTGGACCTGTCCGCCCAGATCGAGAAAGCGGAGCAGGCGTTGGCGGCCCTCCCAAATGTGCCAGAATTTGCAGCGGAGCGAGCGGCGTTGGCAACCAAGGCGAAGAGCCTCAAGCGGGAGGAGGGCCTGCTCGCGCCGTGCGGAAGCCCAGGCGAAGGTGGAAGTTGCCCAGCAGCTCCTCCAGGTGGCGTCGGACGAAGTGGTGGCCATGGAGACAGAGCTCCAGAAGCTCGAGACCAGCCTCGCATGCCCCCCCCGAAGAGCCGCCGCTGGCTCCCATCCACGAGATCCTCTCGGGCATGGCCGAGGAGCTGAAGAGCAAGCCCAATGCGCACCCAAATCACATCGCTGCTGCGGAGAGGCATGTCGAGATGCTCGTGGCCAAGGCTTACGCGGAGAGCCAGACCTACGATTCGACGTCGCAGCCCCCATCGGCCCGTCGACACACCGAGAAGGACCTTCAGCGACAGGCGCGGGCGGTCAGCGCCAGGCCCAGGCCGTGCTTGGCGAGGTATGTGGGGAAGCAGCCGCGCAAGGAGACGGTCAACGACTACTTCCTCAAGAAAAACAAAGTCGTTCCCGCGCCCTCGGAGAGTCTGGGCTCCGCTGCAGCAGCGGCAGTGGCGCCTGCGACGACAGCTGCGGGGATGCTGGCTGGGGGGGGGTCCTGTGGCGGGACCTCCGCTGGAGCCCATGTAGACCCCAGCCACGCCACGGCTCCAGGGCCGCACGCCCACTGCGTGCGCTCTGGGTCTATCGTCGAGGCACCTCTCCGCAGCACACGCCGTGGGGGAGACAACATCAGCCTGAGTTGGACGCCGCCTGGCACCTGCATGAAGGCCACCAGCCTTGATGACACCCACGCTCAGGGGCACGCCGCCTGGGAGTTCCGCGCCTCTCCAAAAACACGATGGCATCGAACCCCTCCCCCCCCTTCCCCCGGCAAAACCCTCCCGCCCTCCCCAACCTCTGGAAAACCAGGGGGGTCACTACCGGCTCGAACCCCCCACCCCGGGACCCCCCCCCCCAGGAAAACCAGGAGGGGTCACTGCCGATTTGAACACCCCCCCTACTCGCCGCCGGCAAACAACTCCCGGGTCCCCACCACCATCCTCACTACCGCCCTCACCACTGTTCCCACCACCACCGTCCCACCACCGTCCCACTGTCCACACTGTCCCCACCACTGTCCCACTGTCTCCACTGATCCCACCCCTGTACCCACTGTCCCCACCAGTGCCCCCACCACTGTCGCAGTGTCCCCACTGTCCCCACCACTGTCCCAACCACTGTCCCACTCCCCCTACTGTCCCCACCTCTGTCCCACTGTCCCCACTGTCCCCACCACTGTCCCACTGTTCCCACTGTCCCCACCGCTGTCCCTCTGTCCACACTGTCCCCACCACTGTCCCACTGTCTCCACTGATCCCACCACTGTACCCACTGTCCCCACCAGTGCCCTCACCACTGTCGCAGTGTCCCCACTGTCCCCACCACTGTCCCCATCACGGTCCCACTCCCCCCTCTGTCCCCACCTCTGTCCCACTGTCCCCACTGTCCCCACCACTGTCCCCACTGTCCCCACTGTCCCCACCGCTGTCCCACTGTGCTGTCCCACTGTTCCCACTGCCAGTCCCCACTGTCCCCACCACTCTCCCCACTGCAGCACTGTCCCATTGTCCCACAAGTGCCCCCACCACCGCCCTCACCGCTGTCCCCACCACCACCGTCCCCACCACTTATTTTTTCTGATGACGCGCCCCTGTCCCCACTGTCCCCACCGTCCCCACCACTATACCACTGTCCTCACTGTTCCCGCCACTGTCCCATCGTCCCCTCACCACTGTCCCCAC